ATTTCATTTGGAAGGAGCTATAGGCCTGCTTGGTGGTCCTCACATCATCTGAATTTAAAAATCACACAAAGTATGTCTATGATGGCAACCAAAAATCCTGAGATGACTCTCTCAGAAACTGTTCTTTGTATAAAGCATTTAAACAAATGGGATCAATTATGGGGAGCAGTAAATGAGAAAATTAAAGAGAGGCTCCTGGCAGCTCACGCCTCAGTTCCAGAGAGTTGGGTCCTATTTGAATCAAGTCTCACTTCCTTATAGCCTCCGTATGAAGGAGTGAGTCTGACTTCCCTACTGTGTACTCTCTCAGCTGTCAATCATAACCATTGCAAAAGAGAGTCTCTTTCCTCTCTGGGCCATTCTGCGCATTGCTGACAGCTTCACCATGCCGAGCACGCCTGTGGAATTCACACTCTCACCAGGTCTACACAGAAGCATCGGTTACCTTTGTAAAAGGATGTACTGCTTCTCTGCAGAAGTTTCCTCCCTGCAAGCTAGTGTTCATACACCCCAGGCTGCTACATAGGTTGCTGAGGGAGAAAAGCCAACAGATTTCCCAACTGTGGCCCCTGCATGCTATAAAATTGATTTTTTTCAAGCAAAGTTTTATCCACTAGTGCAATAGTGGCATGGCTGCTTGGGGGTAACTAATCACTTCCTGATTGGATTTGAGGCCTGTTTCATGGGAAGGAATGCATGCCTGGTACTGTAAACCTGGCTGGGGAAGTCACAGCTGGTAGGAGATAATGTCCCACCGAATGCTATACTAGATGGACAGGTAACCAAACTGCCTCCTAAATATTTATGTTTATGACCAGGACCAGGGCTGCCCTCAGCCTGGAAGCTGCCTTCTACTGAGGGAGATAGTTACGGCAGAGATTTAACAACTGGTCAAGGTGCTGAGAAGTGACTGTTGAGGGCTCAGCCCTGAGCAAGAAATCTGTATCTCCCCTTCCAAGGCTCAAGGAGTAGAAGAGGGTGTGGCAGGATTGTGAGCTAGCAGATGGAGAACCGCATGAAACCCTTTCTTCTTTACATGGTGTGGCCGCAGCCTTCACGAGCTCAAGCAACTATGGCTACCTGCATAAGACCCACAAAAATACAAACAAACAAAGACATAGGTAGATGGTGAACTAGTTAGAAAGAGGGGAATCTTCAAGAGTGGGAGAGGGATGAGGGAGTGATGGGTACTGAATATAATTACAATAGAATCTACACATTAGAAATTTTTTAAAAGGTAATGTTCAGTCCTATCATTGTGTTGCCAAATTCCTACCAAAGTGTGTGTATCAAGAGATTGCATTACCTTTTCAATATTAAAATGTCTCTAAATAAGAAATTCAAAGGCAAGCTCTTTATCCCAATTTTCAAAGCCCCTGTGTGATTTGGACCAGGCTGCTCTTTGACCTCCATTCACACCATGTCTGACTGGCGCTTAGGTTCACTATGACTTCATGGATCCTGAAAGAACTCCTGTCCCTCTGATGGCCTCTGATGCTGCCTTGTGGCTCCCTGATCCCAGAATGTATCTCCCTCAGGTACTGACATGACTCAAAAATTGCCTTCTCCTGTACCAGTCCCTCAGGATCGTTCATGCTGCTTGCACACCCAGGGTGAAATCCTGTGGCCCATTTGTTTCCTTCCATCTCTGGCTCTGGTGAGTACCTGGTTTTCTCGCCCACTGCTCACCGTCGGGTGTAGATAGCAGCTGACATAGCGTTAGCTTTCAGCCATTGTTTTGCACAAAACCAATCATTCCTCTGCTAACATTCTTTCCAGGTTTCACATCATATTTAAAACCAAGGACACATTTCTTGCTTCCCGAGTGCCCTAAGGCACTAAACTATACTCCCACAGTATCGTTATTGTAACAATTAGCATACACTGTTAAAATCCCCTCCATGGGCCTGTCCTCCACCTTCTCATCCAGAACACGAAATAAGTGTGTGGCTCAACACTAATTGATATCAGGATTTCTTCTATGGTTTTAGGTATAGACTCTAAAGCCTGGCACTAGCCTACTGAGTCACAAGAATCTGGGCTGAGTTGAATGCTCACTGGACCATGTACACACCTCCTAGTTACTAGTAGAACTGCATTGGGTCCAATATGTATCAGATGAACTAGTTAGCATTGCCTGAGATCTTCCTCGGGCAGCTGAAGTTAATGATGTTCAATTTCTAGCTAGTACTGTGATCCCTCCAAGAACGGTCACCTTCATTTTCCATGTGCAATGCTAGATTGGAGTCTGATTGACTTACAAAGGCAAACTCTGAAAATGTTCGGCCTAAGCGGAAGACATGGATTGTAACATCCTGCCTAACCCAGCCAGCCAACAATAGTGAGGCTCTGACTACGGAGCACCAGTCCAAATGCGCTGGGGAGACAGTCATGACAGAATTTGGCCACTAATTAGTTGTTGGGAAAACCGGGGACAACCCCTCGAGACCTGCATCAGAAATGGGGTTTGGGTGGTCTCAGTTTCAGGAATAGACTGAGGTTGGTTCTCAGGAGAGATTTTGGGGCTCTGAAACAGACTGCAGACCTGGTATATGTTGAGTGTTTACTGAGGCAGACTCCCCCCACCCCCACACCATTGTTTCCTTCGCCTGTTATATTCACATACTACTGTACCCAAAGAAGGCTGTTCCCACAACCTGATCTTCCTTCTCAAAGCTATGCCTCCTCCTGCATACAGATTTCAATCTTAGCTGATAACCGGGCTTCCTGTCTCACAGAAAAAGCAGAAGCACTCTGAAGACAATATGGATATACACGAACCTAAACTTCCATTCACACGCCTGAAGGCTGCCCTTCTCTTGATTAGAAACCAACCTCTGGGCTAGTTCCCTGTGTCTGGCTCCCTTTTCTGGGCTCAGGAAACCTATTCGAACTATCCTGTCTGCTCCTCCTGCATCCTTAAGCTGCCTGTGTCTGGGGCTGGAGATGTAGCTGTCAGAGAAGGGTGTGAGCTTTCTGTTCCGTTGTTGCTTCTCTTATCATCAGGAATATTAGCTCTCTCATCTAAGAGAAAGCAACCTCTTTGCTGGTGCTGCCCTGCTTTGTCTATGGCCTTATCCTTCTGTTCCCATTGGCAACAAAGCTTGCTCGCCTTCTTGGTTGATTTATGCCGAAGCTTGAACCCAGAGCCTTGTGTGTTTGTAGCCCTGAATTTTATTCTTTTGAAACAGCATCTTACTCGATAGCTCAGGCTAGCCTCCAACTCACAGCACTCTGTATCTACCAAAGTTTCCCTAGTACTGGGATTATAGGCATAAGATACCATGCCCAGATGCAAATCTTCTTCGAAACTTTTTTAAAGCTTTGTTAAAATATAATTATGTCATCGCCTCCTTTCCCTCTCAAATTTATGGCCTCTTTTTCTTTTGCCTGTGTGTGTGTGTGTGTGTGTGTGTCTGCCTATTTGTCTGTTTGTACAAACAAATGTATAAATACGGCATGTTGAGCCTCTTTAATGTTGCTTGTCCATCCATGACATCATAGTTGACTCCTTCGTGCTGGATAACCAATTGTGGAGCTCACACACAGAGAGGACATAGTCTCCCACTCTCAGCAGCCATTAGTTGCCTGTAGTTCTTTGTCTTGGAGTAGAGCGCTGAGAGACTTCCCCCTTCTGTGTGAGCACAGGCCTACTGGTGTTGCCATTGTTCGGCTCTCATTCTGGCAGCCAGATGTTGAGTTATCTTGGGTGTAGCTTCTCTGCCCAGGAGACACAGTCTCACTGAGGACTTCCTGGTCCTCTGGCTATTAACATGGCTCCATCCCTCTTCCTTGATGATCCTTGAGCCTGAGGTGCAGCAGCTGCTTTGCGGATGGGTCCTTTGGGACCCATCCTCAGTATTCATGTTGGGCTCCCCTTCTTGCAGACATCTTAGAGTTGTCACACCCGATTCTTAGATGTCATTTGCCCGTGTTCCACACCCCTGGGACCTTACCCAAAACTTCTGCCTCTGATGTCATCTGTTAATTCTCATCCTTCTACCTGCAGCCACGACTTCTTCCCTAAAACTCTACATCCATCTGTTTATCACTCCTCTGCAGTGTCTAGTCTAACCAGATGAAGTCTATAGTCCCATCCCCAGCAGCTCCTCTTTGGTCATCCCCTCTCTCAAAAACGACAACTCCATCTTTGATTCTCTGGAGCCAATATCTCTCATCTTCGTCTTGCATTCTTTCTTTCACTTCCTATACCTAACGGGTCCTAGGGTTCACATGTTCAACTGTGGGTTTCATTCTTTCAACTCGCAGTGTCTCCCTGCTGCCACCCTGGCTCCAGCATTCATCACCTCTGGCTCTGACTGTCCTGGTGGGCTGTAGTCTCGACCCCCTTGGGACTTAAACAACCTTTGCGCAGAGTTCACACGACAGACGTCCTGCCTATCAGATATTTACATTACAATCCCTAACAGCAGCATATTTACAGTTATGAAGGGCAATGAAATAATTTTAGGGTTGGATTATTACAACATGTATCAATGGGCCACAGCATTAGGAAGGTTGAGAACCACTGCTCTAGAGTATGAGTTGGGTCCTCTCCTTAAAGCATGCAATGGCTCCACATTGCACTCACATCCGAAACACTAATGCTGCTCAGCCTCCCCAGCGCCCCCCCCCCATCCTTGCTGCCTTTCTGCTCTTGTTTTCTTCCTTTTCCTTCTTGTTTACTTCCTACTGGTGATCTGAAGATTCCTTGACTTTACCAGCAGCAGTCCCACTGCCTTCTTTTGTCTCTGCTCCTGCCCATATTGGTCCATGACTTGCCTAAGTGCTGTATTGCTTAGAAGTCATTACCCGAGTCTCCATAACGAGAACATGTTTTCTTGATTCATGCCCACCCTGACCTACAATTGCTCCGCTTAACAGAAGAAATGTTCTTGCTGATTTTTCAATGCTAGTCTTGTCACCTTGATGTAAATTTCACTCGGGGGAAATGTCTAAAGGAACATATACTCTGGTGTTAACATTGGTTACACCTTTATTGGGAAACGAAGGCTTTGTAGTTTCATCACTGATGGTATGTTACCTAAGAGAGAAATAAATAATAAAAACATTGAAGAATATTACATGAACTTGGGAAGACAGATAACTTGAACCTCTTAACCTCTTAATGTCAAATCCTTTGGTTGTATAACCAGAAATAGGTCTGCTGACTCCATGTGGTCTTTAAAAATAATTTGCTCTTTTGCTAATAAAGTCTTTTAAGTATCCTTTGTGTCATCCTGAGGTCTCTCAGATAACCTGAGTTTTGTGATGTTTCTTGACCTGGTGCATTTTACAACATATCTCAAGACGATGCTAGAGATCAACATTAAAGGGATACTTCAAAGGGCATTTTAGAGATGCTTGGCCAAACAGGCCTTGGCCATCCTCACAACTGTTCACCAGTCTAATCGACAGCCTGAAACAGCTCTCTAAAGCCTGTTCACAGTCCACCCAGAGGCAGCAGGGAAAGACTGTTAACCAGAACAGAATTATCCTCATTGTTCCTAAGCACAGTAAAGGGAGCTGGAGAGCTCATTAGAAGACCCTTGTGAGCCACTTAAGAACATGGCTTTGCTGAGCTAAAAGCAGAACACGTGCACAAATGCTAGTTTCCCACTTGAGCAAGAATGTCTGAGTTCTTATCACAGCCAACCATCTTCCGGACTCTAAATGACCCTAAATGCAGCTTGGCATTTGGACAGGACAATGGGTACTTTGCATGATTCAGTTAAAGAATAATGCAAAGCTGTTTCCTATTAAGTCACTTTGATCTGTGCTGAGCCAAATACCTGGATCTGTCACCCGATAAGCTACACCCCAGAGAGAAGGAGAAAAGAGGGCAGATTTTTTAGGAGTAGAGATCTTAGTATCTTCAATTATGTTTGTATTTTTCGAATATTCACCAGACACTGTAGATGTGTTCTCTAACATTGGGATCACTCAAGAGATTTCTTCCTTCCCTCTCCCCCGACAAATAGACCCAGCAGTTCCACAGTTCAGCCCGGAATCATCCTAGGTGAATTTGAGGAGGGGCTTCCAAAGATTACATTGTAAAGTGTTTAGTTCAGTCAACAAGATGCATAAGTAACAGTTTCTTGGCCTTAGGAGCCTTGAAACCCATGAAACCCAGAACAGGAAGGCACCATGGTGCGACTTTGTGATAACTGAAGTGACAGTGATCAAGGAAATGACTGATCTTCAGGGCATGCGATGATGAATGTTGCCAGAAAGAGAAGGAGGAGGGGCTTTCTAGGCCATGCTACCATCATGAGAAGTCACAGGCTGTGCGAGGGATAGTGCGTTCCATATGATGTGAAGGCGAAGGGGACTGGTGACTTGAACAAGGCTGGAGAAATCTGAGACAGTACGGGTCTCGGGTCACTGGGTCATTTCAATGTCATTTTGTAGGTAGCAAGGACTTGGTAAACGTCTTTAAGAAGGGTGTGGCAGGAGGTCTCTGGGAATATCAAATGCTGTGGAGTTGCTCCTTCAGCTAATGTCTTCCGAGCGGCTGTGGTCTTCTTCACTAAGCTTCAGTGATTGCTTAGACTGGATGGCTTGTGAACAAGGGGAAACCCGTGATCATGGTGCTGGCTGGTCAGGAGAGAGCCCTGGTCCTCACACATGATGCATTCCAGCGATGCGGCCATCAGTTGTAAGGGCAAACAAGCTCTCTTGGAACCCTTTTATGTGGGGACAATAGCACTTATAGGGGTGGTACCTTCTTGTCCTGAGAACCTCTCATGACAATTACTTATTAGCGTAATCACAATGGAGGGTGCCTCTCAGCAAGTGAATCTTAGGGGAGCACAAATCTCCAGGCCATTGTACCTGCCCCACGGCCTTCTCAGCACTGACCTTAGAAGAAGGCTGTCACAGCCCAGAAGTGTTCCAGCCGTCCAAGCAATGCGACTAAACCAAGTAGCGGCAGGAGTGTGTGCAGAGAAACCTGAATGGATCAACACGATTTGAGGCTTATTCTTGACAAAGTAACTGGAAATAACTTTTATTTACTATTTTGAGCATACCTGGACTTAGGTGGTGAGGCTTGTGTTGCCAATGCCTTACCTTTATCTGCTTGGCTACCCGGGTGCTTTGTTTTGCAGCTGAGATTAACTGTATGGCAATGGTGTGAATGGAATGCACATGCAGAGAGGTCCCCCCCCCACATCTGGATGAGATGGGCACCCCCACCAAGAGCTGTGGAGTGATGCATATCAGATCTAACTGTGAAACACAGGCAAGGAGAAGAGGGTGAGGTTTTACTGAGCCATGGAAGAGAGGACCAAGGCTGGCAGGAATCCACAAAAGAAAGAGGGTATGAGAGGAAAGCGGTGATTGGCCTTTCCTTTTGGTTCCAGTGCTGGGGATTGAACTGGAGGTCTCATGACTGGTAGGCAAGTCCTCTACCACCGAGATGTGCACCAGCCCAGCCTTTTAAAGTACAGCATAAATGTAAAACCTCTCTAGTGTCATTGACACCAGCGAAGAGTCAGGGAGGAGAGGCAGGGATCCTGATGAAAGGGATGCAGGGAGGAGGAGGGGAATGAAAGGTAGGATGCGGAGGTGCAGACAGCCGGATGGGAAAGGAGGAAGACAAAGCCAGCAGGGTGTGCACAACAGAGGGATGCAGACAAAGAGAATGCAAACAAAGACCTTTGTTTCTTTGACGGGAAAGTGATGGGGAGAAGGAAAAATAGGTTGGATCCCTTTGAAATTGCTATTATCTTATAGTAACTCTTTCTATGCAAACTAAAAATAAACAGATGCTACTGGGCTTATTAGTTAAAAATATCTTAATTTAAAAGTAATCGCTTCTCATGGGGTGGTTATGGGGAGTCGGAGGGTTGAATGTGTCCAGTTAAAAGGAGTGGTGAGAATGGACAGGAAAGAGGACATGTATGAACACAGCACCTTTCAGACCTTTCCTGGGCTTGGGGTTGCAGTCAGGGACAGCAGGTATATGAGGCAGAGCGGAAGTGTGGTTGGGCTTGTTTAGTTGCATAGTCAAGCAGGCAGAAAAGGAAAATCCAACAAATGACTTTATCGGATGACTGTGATCTTTGGTATTGGGTCTGGGAATTTTTTTTCAGAGCTGACACAGATGAACGTCAATCGTCATTTCTGAATAGGCAGAAAACAAATGAGCAGACGCCAAGGAAACAGGGGAGCGCAACCTCTCCAACCATCAAAAGCGGTGGGGCAGCTTTGTCCTCTCCTAATATCAAGACTAAGTCGGCTTCAGGTGACTTTTGTGAAACCAGAATGGCCCAGCCGTTGGTTCCCTTCCCTGAGAAACAGGGTGCGACGGTTTCATTTCATGCTCTGTTTGCACAGCACGTTCAAGGCCAAGACAGCACATGTGCACAGCTGTAAATTCATAGCGCTGCGCATGTTTCTATAAATACTTGAGGAGAGTCCCGGTAGAATGCATCTGAAACAGAGAGCAAGGGTTTGCTGTGGGCAAAACACAGAAGAGAACTGAAATTAGGCACAATGGTCAGTAGAACTGAAGTTTGGTTTACGAGATTAGCTCGTTACAAGAAAACTTTGTTATGTGTGGAGCCTAAAATCTGACTTAAGAATTATAGGAACCTTATTACTAGCGAGATTATGGCAATTATTTACTTATTTTGGAAGTTACTATCCAGTAAAGAAGTGATTTTCAAAAAATCTAAAGTGTAGGTAAGTTTCAAATGCTTGAGTTATATTTCACTGGAGAAGACTTTTCTACCAATAGTTCATTTTCAAATCCCATACTAAATATTCGTACATGTCAATATATTCATTTTGCATATATTATACAAAGTACACATATAATCTAGTAAAGGCTAATTTAAGAATGACAACTTTCATATAATCTCTTGTTTTCATGCCAGTGCAGCAGTTTTCATTGGTGGTAGTAGTTTTTTGAGACAGGGTTTCTCTGTATAATAGTGTTGGCTGTTCTGGAACTCACTTTGTAGTCCAGGCTGGCCTTGAACTCACAGAGATCCACTGCCTCTGCCTCCTGTGTGCTGAGATAAAAGGCGTGCGCCACTACCACCTGGCTAATGTTGTTTTACAAAAGAGAAACAAAAACGTTCAGGGAGACATTGAAGCAGAGTATAAGTTATAAAGAAATTCGTGTTTGCTGGATGCCTGAACGTGAAAAGATATGTTTTCAATGAATCAGAATCTTGTAGAGCGTCCACCACTGTCTCTTATGAAGAACTCAGTCTTCCTCCTGCTATTCTGTAGTCACTTTTCCTCACACACTTGCCTCGAAGCCAGGACAGTTTCATCTTTGCAAATGTCTCTTATCTCCCAATAACCGTTCTTGAAATTGGTGGCCACTGATACCATTCTTAAGTAGTGATGTTTGATTCTATAGTTGGAAGGAGTAAAGAAGCTGGGTATTGGTGCATGCCTTTAATCCCAGCACTCAGAAGGCAGAGGCAGGCAGATCTCTGTGAGTTTGAGGCCAGCCTGGTCTATAGAACGAGTTCCAGGACAGCCAAGGCTATACAAAGAAACCCTGCTTTGGAAAAAAAAAATGGGCAGAGTGAGAAGTAAAGCTCTCTCCTGGGTCATCATATTTATAAAGAGTAGAAGTTTATTTTCCCAGCGGATTGAGAGGTTGCAAAGTCCAAGTGTGGGCAGCGGCTCCACTTGGTTTATGCTCCTGGTGCATCCTAAATACTGGAGATTAATGCTGTGAGAGGCAGAACGCAGTGCTAGGCTGGGCTGCTCTTCCTGTTTGAACGAAGTCACTAACACCATCATGGGGGCCCCATCCTTGAGACCTCATCTAATCTTATCTCCAAATGGCCAACACTCTATGAGCTGAGGACTAAGTTTCTAACGCTCAGATTTGCAGCCCCACATTCAGACCACGACCCAGCTGTGTCATCCCAAGGGAAAGAGTTCTCTCACTAAGCTATGTCTCCTCTGAGGTGGGGTCAGTGTCTTGTGGACTGGGGAATCACAAAGGCTCAGGGAAACTCCAGGGACCCTGTAGGTACTCGTTGGTATTGAAAAAGCGAAAAACTAGATCTTGAATTCAGCTTTCCCCAACTAAAACGGAACACCACAATACCGATTCCCATGCCTAGACAGGGAGGAGGCAAGAAATGACAGAGAACTTTGTTCTTAACAAACTTGCCAAGCCAACACTTGAGCACACTCATTTGAATTCTTTAGTCAGGAGCTAATTCCCAGCGGCTGGTAACGTTTTTAGTTGTGGAAGGAAATGAGTCAAACAAACGGGACTGATGCTCACATGCACAAGTACATTGCACAAGGACGTGCACATACACACACGGACACCTTGACCAGCCCTTTACTCTTAAGTGCTCCTCCTTTTCCCTTCCCCTCCATTCGGCGCAACATTTGCACCTTAGACCAAAGACCCATGTCAAATTCAGAGCAGTTGTCCAGGGTTTGGTTTCTGTTTAGCAGAGAGTTGTGAAGCATTTTGTGCTGCTAGGGAGATTATTGAAGGGCAGATAAAATGCAAACACCAGTAGTTAGAAACTGCTTGCTTGTTCTTTGTCAGAACCATGTGTAGTTCATAAAAATTTTGACAAGCAGTTTTACCTGCTACTAATCAAACAGAAAAGGAAAAGCAAGGAACAAAGCAAAACAAAAATCAGAAGGAAAGATTCAATATCCCAAGAGAGAAAACAGTCACAGAAATCCTACTTCTTATCAACTGTGAAAAAACTATTAACTTGGCTTTTTTTTTAAAAAAAAATAATTTTGATTATTTTTGGACAAATTCTTGGTTCTTCTGCTTGCCTTAAAAGAAACATGCTCTTTCTCCAGTCTAAAAACCTCAACGGAGGCTTAAGGAGGTGACTCAGTAGGAAAAGTTCTTACTGTGCAAATGTGGGGATCTGAGTTCAAATCCCCAGTTCCCACATAAAAGCCAGGTGTGGCAGGGCATGTCTGTAACCCTGGTGCTGAAGCAGAGAGACAGGAGGACCCCAGGGCCTTGACTGGTGAGCCAGTCTAGCGAAATTGGTGAGTGACAGGTTCAGTGAAAGATCCTGCCTCAAAATCTAAATTGGAGAGTGATGGAGGAATGTACTCAACCTCAACCTCTGACCTCCACATAGGTACTCATGAGCAAGCACACCTGAACACACACACACTCACATATGCACACACACACACTCACATATGCACACACACACACACTCATATGTGCACGCACACACTCACATATGCACAGACACACACTCACATATGCACGCACACACACTCACATATGCACACACATGCATGTGCGCGCACACACACTCACATATGCACACACACACACACACTCACCACACACACACACACACACACACACACACACACACACTCCCCATACACACATCTCATCAGAACAAGAATTGGGCATCTAGATATGAAATAAGATCAGTGGGTAAGCTACGAAACCTAATAATTTATGAACAAGCTGCCCACAGTGTACCAGATCACCAGGAGAATCTGATGGCATCTGTTAGACCATAAAACTGTAAATTACATCCTAAAGCTCATAAATTTAAAATATACAACAAGATTAAAGGCCCAAATGAAGAAATAATCCATTAATAATGAGAAATGCATATAGGGATACTTAGACAAAATATGTCCAGGCTTTTCTTCTGCCCCTGCAAGTTCATTAAGAAAAGTCCACGTTTATTAAATAACAACTGGCAGACAGAATAATCTACTCGGCACCAAGATGAGGTCTGGGCACATAGCATGCACTCAAGAACGGTTGGTAAGAGGAAGAGGAAGAGCCGCTCAGCAGTTCCTCTGATTTCACCTCCAGACACAAGGGGGAGACTAGGTGGAGATGTTTGGTGTTGGTGTGTTCACAGATCACCCTGCAGCTCTTGAGCTGAGTCCGATTTCTCTATTTGCCTGAAGTGGTATCTGTTAAGGGGCAGAATATTCATTAGTGAGCGTCTTTCCATCTCAGGCATTTTAAGATCAATGACGTGGATCTGGATTTCAGTGGAACGGTGCAAGAAATGAAAACAAAACAACAAAATTGGAGTGAGGAAAATCAAATTGATGGTGGAAGATCAACTGTATGGTCAGTATGCTTATGGCTGGATTTAAGTCTCAGCATTACACACACACACACACACACACAGAGAGAGAGAGACAGACAGACAGAGAGAGAGACAGAGAGAGAGACAGAGAGAGAGAGACAGAGAGAGACAGAGAGAGAGAAGGGGTCACAAGCGTGTGAAAGAAAACATAAACTAGGACTGACGATATGGACACCAAATACAGATTTTTCCTTTGTGTTGATAAGAAACATGTGTAACAGGTGTTGTACATGACTATCCTCTGAGCCAAACTGGGACTGTCTTCAGGAGTTCAGCTGGGCCTGCTTACGAAAGATCACCTCAGCTGGGCTTGTTGACTACCCGGGTTCCCTCATAGAAGGGGGCAGGAGGTCATGAGACCCTCGTGAATACCCAGCCACTTCTCCCAACCAGTTTCGTGCAATTCTGTCCTAATCGCACCTGGCCCAAGATGTGTCAAGGCAGGACTAGAACATAGGTGCAGGTGGGGAAGGGCTAGGGGAGGGGACACTCTATCGACACAGCCCTGGGAAAGCCATCAACCACTGTTGGGTACAGGAGTTCCAGTGTGACTGTTTAAAGGTCACCCACATGTCTGCCCATTATCCGTGGGCATCATCCATGCCTTGTAAGTAACTCCGACAAACTCATGGGCTCCCGAGGATGATCTTTAGTTTGTCATAGAAATCTCATGAGGAGCAAGGATGCCCCCACCCACCCACCATGGGGGTGGGGGGAGGATTTTCAGAACAGCAGGCTGGAGCTGAGAAGGAACACAAGGTACCAGTAGATGTTTAGGAGTGCTTGTCCAAACAATCCCTCTCTTTCCTCTAATCTGTTATGTCCCCAAGTGATTCCCTAGGCAACTCTCGGGAGTCATCATCATCATCATCATCATCATCATCACCATCATCATCATCATCATCATCATCACCATCATCATCACCATCATCATCATCATCATCACCATCATCATCATCATCACCATCATCATCATCATCATCATCACCATCATCA